CCTCGCTCCCCCCGCCCGGCCCGGCGGGGGTCTTCGGTTTTCCCTTGGCGTTACAAGTCCTGGGGTCGCGTTTTAAATATTTGTCTTCACCGTGAGGCGGCCAGGGGTTAGAGCTTTAAGAGACACACCCAATACCAAGAGGCTTGAAAAAAATTTAATGAGCTAGTAACACCGAACAACGAGGACTAATCTAAAAACCGTTCCCACATCCTACTTAAAATATTTACAATTTCGTTAACTGTATATACATCGCAATCTTTGTTCCTTATAGTCTATTTATAGATTAGTTCCTTAGGAATTATACCTGTTACATCTGGAAGATGAACAGCACAGTATTATTGTAGTAGCCATTGCTGGAAAATTAATTACATATACTAGATGAGTTGCTAATAGCCACTGGGCACTGCTAATCGAAGTCTGAGGCTACGCGCACGCAACTCAACGCACGATGCAAACAGCGTGTTCGGCTAAGAAACGTCTGTGCCTCCAAAATACGGTAAGTATACTACACTGTGCAATTCACCCTATTTGAGAGAAAAAAAAAAACCAAACCACACATCTGTGCGGCAGTATAGGGAGTCTAATCACAGAGACATTGACTTACGTTGATCTGCCATCTCCAAACATCCCATCTGCCCAACATTCTGCTGCTCCACTGAAGGTCTACATACCCCTTAGAAAGCAGCAGACCCACTGTGCAGAGCAATTCATCAAGTAAAGCCTAATTTTATGACATCCTGAAATTACACAACAGAACAGCACCTCTTGGAAAAGTTCCATGGTTCAAGTAAGAGAGACAAAAAACAATACAACAAATAAAACTGGATTCATAGCTCTAAGTCCAGCTAGCCGAATAAGATCCCTTTCAGGCATTCCTTTATTGGGTGTACCTTTACTTTTTTATATCCTGAAGCAAAGCTTCTTAGCTGTATCAAAGTGGGGCAGTACTACCTTTCATTGGTATTTTATGCACTTCTGAACTCCCTTCTGCTACTTTATTTCCCCTTTCTGGAAAGAAACCCAAGCAGCTCTCCGAAAAGCACTTCTGCCAAAGAAATTGCAGAGTCAGCCACCAAGCTCAAAACAATTTAAGTACGCTGGATAGGAAAGTCACAGACAAACGGATAGGCAAACGGATAAACCTGAGAATGCAAGGGAAAAATTACTGGGCGAGTATTTAGTGTCGGACCAATCCAATACTTGCTCAATGGCTTTACAGGATGAATAGAGAAAAAGCTAATTAAATTAATCTGATTTACTAGAAAATATTAAGCTTACAGATGATACAATGTCTGCATAATTTTAGAAAAATCATTGATTTCATGGTTTATTTTACAATAATTGGATTAGTCTACAAGTTAAGGCAAACATACTAATGCATTTGCTTTTCTTTTTAAATCATAGTTATAAAGGTTACACAAAGTTCTCCAAAATTTCTAAGAAATGTTCACAATTGAAAAAAAGATTAAGTTTCTTGATATCAATACATGGAAAAAAAAAACTAAGACAGTGTATACAATGCCATTATAGTAACAATATTCAAATATCTAATGGTAATATTTAGGCCATTTGAACAATGTGCTTCAAATGGTGAAATTCAGAAATTACTTAAAGGTAAATAAGATTGGCAGCCGTATCATAGTATTCATAACATGAACATAATTATATTGGCTATTTTCACAAAAACAGAGCATTTGGTTTCTGAACAATGAAAGCATATGATTAAATAAACATGAATATGTATGTATAACAAGTATGCTGTTGCTTCATATAGTCTGGAGCTACTTTCAGGTGTTTGTTTTAATTCTTTTGAAAGAAGGAGCTTGCTTATGCGCACTTTGTCAAATGTTTTCTCCAGGGAACTGTAAATGCCTATGTAAAGTCATGAAAACAAAATCCAGAGGAGGGCAGCCCTTGTTAGTGGGAGGACGGAGCGTAGCTTATGTGTCACCATTTAACACTGCCAGGCAGCTCTGCAGCAGCTGTAAGTTACCCTGTGAAAATAAAGAAAAATATGACCACATTTCCCTACTTTTACACTTGTGGCAAAAAGATGTTTTTTAAATAGCAATGACACCACCAAAGGAGAACAGACAGGTATTAAGCTTATGTAGAAATATTTATGTAAGTAACTTCCATCTTAAAGAGTTTTTTGAATGTAGGAGCATTGTGTTATGGGACTAAACGGAGGCAAATTAAGATTCAAAACCAAGCATTTAGTACCCTTTCTATGTTTCTTCACAAGCTTCTTACGAAGACCTAGTCTGGCCACAAAAACTAGTCACTGCAGAGCACTCTCTTAGCAATGAAGCTCAAAGTTACAACGTTTTCATTTTTTAATATAGTATTGCCATTACTCTGTCACTGGAATATCATCCACAAAGCATAAGTATTCATATATTATGCTGAATACTGAATTCTTCAGGAAGCGTTAGCCAATTCACAGCGCTCAGTATCTCCTTGCTATAGCAGCCATCTAAGTTCTGAGCTCTGTTCAAGGACAGACCTTGTTTGAAAGACAGCAGACTGATTCACATCCTTAGCCAGGCGATTTAGCCATCGAAGCTGAGTTTAGCCATTAGAGACGGTGCTACAGAAGTGATCATCAGAACATTAACTAACTAAGCTTTATCTCTAAGGCCAAGTTTTGCCGTTCTTTTAAAAAACCTATAGGTCAGGTTTTAATCCTATTTAAAGCATTCTGACTCTACCATAAAAACATACATGTTGACTTTCAGATTTCTGAATGAATTTACAGAACTGACACTTAAAAAGATGTGAATTAAGCAAATGCAATTGACAAGTAAGCCAGGATTTACTTTCCAGAAAAAAAAAAAACCAAACCAAACTTGTATTCATAGTATTCACATTGTTTTGTGCATTCATTTATGCTTAGATCATTTTAAACTACTGGCTATTCACTATTAAATAGCTGCACTAGGTTTGTTCCCAAATCCAAAAATCTCTATGTAAGAAACAATGTTAGGTTGTTGCTGCTGCTAAGAGAAATTCCTATCAGGTTCAGATAAAACGCAAGCACAAAACAGTCTGAATGCCTACTTAGAAACATGGGAGAAACTTTTTGACCCAAAAAGAAACCTGTAATGAAAACTTCAATCAAACAAAAGCACACAATTAAACAGTATCAGTAGCTGCGATTTGCATGTCCTTGATAAGCTGTCCACACAAGTACTAAAGAATTTGTGATTCTTTCTTTTTCAGTTGAAAGCATTCCAAGTCACCTATGGTAGACAGGGAGAAGGACACTCATCCCTCAACCCAGAAAGGTAAGAAATCGTAATTCTATCCCCCATTAAGGTTCGTATAACCCAGATTAGCAATTTACTACATGCAAGGCTTCAAAGTGGAAGATTCCCAATTGTGTCTACTGAATCCTTTTCAGTCTTCTCCAGAAGACAGTGATTTCAGTTACAGGTTCAACAGCTTTTTGTCCTTTTATGCCTATACTGACAGAGGACAACCACAAGCTATTTAAAAGGCTTGGAATTCTGTGCTACGAGCAAATTCAATATACATGAGATGCATGGGTGCTTGGTGGCCCATCTTTGTAGCATACAGGATTCATAAATCTAAGGTCTCTGTTACTGAACAGCTGATTACTGGCTGTAATGAAGTAACGAATGAAAAGCAATACTTCAGTCTGAAGTCTTTGGTCTTCAAACAGAATACTTCACAGTGAAGTATAATTGTGGACCGCATATGTTACCTATAACAAAAGTGTGACGGTGACGGATCTTTTGGCCATCTCTTTACAGACCGTCAGCAGCGTGAAGTGTATTTGCAATTCACAGGCCACTATGCAGCACTCTGAAGAAAAGACAGTACCAAGACACCCTTTATACATCAGTCATTTCCAGACTCAGCAAGCCAGTCTACTGACATTTTCCAAATAGGCAAATCATTTATTTTCATTATATCAAATCTACAAAGTTCACAAGAACAACCTTATTTAAATTATATTAAATCAAGGACAATAGAGGCTGTGAGCCATTACTCTTTCTGGCTGCAACACCTGACATAGTTGACTTATATCAGCATAGCTCAAGAAAGTCCTATAAATTCAGATTCAGTCTGCCGACTCAGACTCTTAAGCGCTCAATGTTACAGTTATTGGCAGAATCATGGTGACAGAAACATCCTTTTCAAGAAAGAATTACTGACAAAGCATTTAACCAAATCCCTTAGCACTGGATTTTGCTCCCTTCTCCTGTCAGTTCCAAACAGACATCTGTTGCTAGTAACGCAACAAATTTTTTCCACAAAAGCCCATTGAGGCCAAGAACACATATATTATTGTTTGTGGAAAGAGATGTTTAGATTTTTTTTTTTATTTGAAGGAAACTGCTATCTTACTCAGTTACAATTCATTCATCAAAAGACTCTAGAAGCACAGCCAAGGCTATAAGTGCTTTACATACATGATTATAACCTTAGCCGTTTCACCAGCTAGCAAGCTTCCCTTCTTGAACATGAAGTCCAACACAGGAACACCTCAAAATCCAACTGTTTAAAATACTGCATAGGTTTAAATGCAGCCTTTGCACTAAATGCCACAAACACTTAATCAGGTCTTACATTAACTACAGCTGCATGAAGTCATAACAGAGCTAGCAAGACAGAAGCTAAACACT